GGGCACTCTGGTCGCTCAGTGGTCACTCATGGTCACTCAGTGGTCACTGTGGTCACTCATGGTCACTGTGGTCACTCATGGTCACTCAGTGGTCACTGTGGTCACTCATGGTCACTCAGTGGTCACTCTGGTCACTCCCCAGACCAACAAGAAGACCGGCCAGCCCATGATCAATCTCTACACGGACCGTGAGACCGGCAAGCTCAAGGGCGAGGCCACCGTGTCCTTCGACGACCCGCCCTCGGCCAAGGCCGCCATCGACTGGTTCGACGGTGAGCATCCCAAATCCCTGATCCCAAAATTCCCAAAAATCCTGATCCCAGAATTCCCAAATTCCCGAAAATCCTGATCCCAGAATTCCCAAATTCCCGAAAATCCTGATCCCAGAATTCCCAAATTCCCGAAAATCCTGATCCCAGAATTCCCAAATTCCCGAAAATCCTGATCCCAGAATTCCCAAATTCCTGAAATTCCTGATCAAATTTCACCGTGTGCTTTGACGACTCGGCCAAGGCCGCCATCGACTGCTTCGACGGTCAGCATCCCCAATTCCTGATCCCAAAATGCCCGAAATTCCTGAAATTCCCAAAAATCCTGATCCCAGAATTCCCAAATTCCCAAAAATCCTGATCCCAGAATTCCCAAATTCCCAAAATTCCTGATCCAATTTCACCGTGTCCTTTGACGACTCGGCCAAGGCTGCCAGCGACTGCTTTGACGGTCAGGATCCTGAAATTCCCAAAATTCCTGAAATCCATTATCCCCAGATTCCCAAAATTCCTGATGCCTGAATTCCTGAAATTCCTGATCCAATTTCACCGTGTCCTTTGACGACTCGGCCAAGGCCGCCAGCGACTGGTTCGACTGTGAGGGTCCCAAATTCTCCCCAGATTCCCAAAATTCCTGATGCCTGAATTCCTGAAATTCCCAAAATTCCTGATCCCCAAATTCCCAAAATTCCCGGTCCCTAAATTTCCCGAATTCCCCAAATTCCTGATCCCTAAATTTCCTGAATTCCCAAAATTCCTGATCCCAGAATTCACAAATTCTCAAAATTCCTGATCCTGAAATTCCCAAATTCCTGAAATTCCCAAGTTCTTGATCCTTGAATTTGCAAATTCTTGATCGCTGAATTGCCAAAATTTCCAAATTCCTGAAACTCCTGGTCCCAAAATTCCCAAATTCCTGATCGCTGAATTCCCAAAATTCCCAAATTCATGATGCTTGAATTTCCAAATTCTTGATCCCTGAATTCCCAGAATTCCCAAATTCCTGATCCCTGAATTCCCAAAATTTCCAAATTCCTGATCCTTGAATTTCCAAATCCTTGATCCCTGAATTCCCAAAATTCCCAAATTCCTAATCCTGAAATTCTCAAAATTCCCGAATTCCTGATCCTTGAATTCCCAAATTCCTGATCCTTGAAATTCCTAAAATTCCCAAATTCCTGATCCCTGAAATTCCCAAAATTCCCAAATTCCTGATCCTGAAATTCTCAAAATTCCCGAATTCCTGATCCTTGAATTTCCAAATTCTTGATCCCTGAATTCCCAAAATTCCCAAATTCTTGATCCTGAAATTCCCAAATTCCTGAAATTCCCGCTGCTAGTTCCCAGAATTCCCAAATTTCACTGCGTCCTTCAATGACCCGCCCCCAATTCCCATTTTCTCCCAATTATTCCCTTTTTCTCCCCAATTAATTCCCACTTTTCCCAATTAATTTCCATTTTTCCCCCAATTAATTCCCATTTTTCCCCCAGTTAATTCCCATTTTTTTCCCATTTTCCACTGCGTCCTTCAATGACCCGCCCCCAATTCCCATTTTCCCCCAATTATTCCCTTTTTCTCCCCAATTAATTCGCACTTTTCCCAATTAATTTCCATTTTTCTCCCAATTAATTCCCATTTTTCCCATTTATCCCAAATTAATTCCTGTTTTCCTCCCTTAAT